CTGCAGGTAAGTACTCAAGCTGCTGGTGCCCTGCTGAACCTCGCAAGCGATTGTACTGAGTATGCCAAGGCCTGGATCTCCTGAATATCTCTGATGCTGTCTATCACCTGCTCGTGTGCGACAGGAGATTGTGTCAAATGACGCCATTGGCCCATTGATCAACTTGGTCAAGGCAGGTGTAAGTCGCTTGCGGCTGAGTTGTGTGTAGAGCAAGACTGGAAGTATGTTCTATGACCCGTCGAGGATGGTCCAGACCTGGCGCGGGAGTATGCCGCCGGGGCGCTGATGAACCTCATGCGTGGGGACCGGTGTTTGCAGGTAGCTGTTTGCCTCTGTAGCCCAATTCCGTCCCAGACTGCGGCATGTGCTTCTCGTGGATCGCGGAGGAGATGGAGGTGGCCACCGCAGCTGCGAAGCTCAGCGCCATCCCTGTCCTTGCCGGTTTGTTGTCCCGATCTTCGGGCCACTCGGAGGAGCGAGAGCCGAGAAATCCGAGAATCGGTTCTTTTGTTGGCCTTCCTGCCATGCAGCGGAAGAGGCCCTGGGAGCTTTGGCGAATTTGGCGAGTGGGAGCGCAGATCGCCAAATCCAGATCTACAAGGCAGTGAGTGGTAGGATGTGGTAGGTGAGTGGCTGGAACTGGGCCTCGTCCCGGCGTTTGGCGGAAGATCTTTCAACACCTGCATGTGAGCCAGGCACAGGTGACCCGCAAAACGGTCTCACTACTCAGTGATCCTGACGTTGACGTGCGGCGAAGTGTGGGGGCCTCTTGCTGGTTGCAAACACAGTGCCGAAGTTGGCTTCCCGTGCGAGGCCGCGGCCCTTCTCATGAACCTGGCCCCACATGGAAAGATCAAGGTCTCCCACATCTCCTGAACCTACAGTGTGTCGTGCAGCGCAGCATCAGGAGCGAATCGTGGAAGCTGGTGCGCTGAAGCCGCTGGCGAAGGCTTTAAAAGACGACGATGAAATCCTGAAGGACTCTGTGCAGAACAACGGTCTCGAACCACTCGTGCAGTGCAAAGCGTAAGTATGAATCACTCGTCATGCCGCGTGCCGGCGTGGCATCTTCCTTTTGTTCCCACCAGTAAACTTTGGGCCGGGACTTCGGATTTTGCAACCTTGTAGCCTGTAAGCTTTACGTTCTTCGAAGTTAGATTTCTGACGAAGATGGGCTCCACAAGAGCAGGCTGCAGCAGGCTCGCAGCCTGCATTGCCTCCGGCTGTACTTCTGCGAGAGCTGTACGCGGGGTGTGCACGTGGTTGACACGAACTACCCTTCGCACCTTCCAGCCGACGGGCATGTTGGCTAAGTTCTGGCTGGCTTGCATGGCCCTAGCTGAAGGCATGCAGTCAGCCATCCTTTAGATTCGCACAGGGCATGTGAACATGGCTTGGGGTGGTAGTCCCGCAGGCCTTCGCCCGAATGCTTTTTGCACATGGGTTGGAACATCTTTGAAGGTTTGCCGGCCTGCATCCCAGGCCTTTATCTATTTTTACGTCGTTTCTGTCCAGGAACGGGCTGCCGGTGCGCTGGCGAATCTCTTCAACGACCACAGCGCAAACGTGCATCAGGGCTTCCAGCAGGCGCCCTCGTCTCACCGTCTCACTGTGTACCAAAGCTAGGCTTTGCTAGCTCGCCCTCCCCTAGACACTACATTCAATAGGCGTGATGGAGCGTCGGGTCCAGCTGCTCGGAAGTCCTGTCAGGCAAGTGAGATGATCCCGTCCCTCGTGGCATTGATCCAAGAAGCTGGTCTCTCCGAAGACGCCAAGCGTCAGGCTGCTCATGCGCTTGCGATGCTGGCTGCGGAGGACGGCCTTTTGCACAGCTTGCCTTCCATTTTGCTACGGAGGCTTACGTAACAGTGAAAGTTGTCATCTTCCGATTGGCTCAGGATGGACCATGTGATGCAGTCTGGCAAGCAAAAGCTGGTCCTCCACTTATTGCCCTTCTTAAGGCGTGGATCTCTGCAGATTTCGGAGTCAGCCTGTGTTACCAATCCTGCATGGCCCTGCAAGCTGTAGCTTGGTCCTGTTGCTAGGACATGATTGGAGAGGCTGCCTTGGGCATCATGCGTGGGGCCCGGTTGAGATTCGCCTCCCCGCCCCGTCCCCTCATCCTGATCGGAATCTCTCCAGGAACTTGTCCTGGAGATGGCCGGAGGTGAAGGCGGAGTTGGCAAAAGCTGGAACCCTGGAGTACCTCATGGACATGCTGAGGCAGGGAGCTGATTCAGCCAGGCTGATGTCCCAAGGCATCTCATACCTCATACTCGCACCTCGACGCAGTTTGCATGTCTTTTCAGTTTTACAAGCAGGGCACTTGGGGGCAGGCTTGGAGATGCAATGGCCAAAGAGTGACCGACTGCTTGTTTGAGCTTCAAAATCGCATTCCGCGCCTCGGGCATGGTAGCAGAACGTGAAATCAGACTGCTTGGAGGTACGCAGCGGGTGCCTTGATGAACATGACAGCAGGTTCACCGGACAGCGCTGAGAAGGTGACGCCGGCGGCGTGCACCTCAGAGCGACGGCAGAATGCAGCACATGCCGGCACGACTGTTTCTGGGAGGTGAAGGATTTAGCAGAACTTTTGAAGGCCGATGCCATTCAAGTCGGGATCTCAACTACAAGTTATGCCGCTATGTTTTAGCAGCTCGGTGGTATGCAACAGCCCCGAATCGCATATAACAAGTGTTACTCACCTACGCAGGCAGCGGAGTGGGCCGCAGGTGCTCTGGCAAACATAATCAGCCAGCGGCTCAGCACATTCTTGGACTTTATCACGCAGCTGCCAGGGCCAGGGCATGTTTCTTGCCTACAGCGGTGCCTTCAGGATCAGGGCCTGCAGCGCAGGAAACGGCAGTTGCACAGGCTTGTTTGTGGCATGTGATTCCATGCGCTCGTAGCTGGGATTCATGGTCAGGGAGCAGCAACTTCTTTGGCAGCCTTGCTGCCCAAGGTCTTGCACTTACGCCAAAACAAGACGATTTGGCAGTCTGCAGCAGTGGAGAAAGTTTTATTTTACGGCGAGTTCTATTTCCATTTGATTCATTGCTGCACAACTGCGCAGCATTTTATGTCCTGGCGACGACAGGTCGCCGTTTGTACGGCAGTGTACGGAAGCTTCGAGGTCTAAGAGCACCTCCTGTCGTATCGTTCAAAAGCATGGTGGATGATCGAGTTGTGACAGAAGGTAGCAGCCTGTTTGGTGAACCGGCAAGGGGAGGATTCCGGGAGCATCGGTTCGAGTCCGAGGGAGGGCAGCATACCCGAGCACGCTGCCGACGCTCCCACTCCACCTCCCCCCCCCACTGTCTTCGTAGCACAGCAATGCCCAGAAGGGAACATGAAAATGGCATGCAAGCATGTGCACACACGTGCAGGCGAGTGCATGCATGATGCTCGCATACCTGCAGAATTCCTGCAGACATGTATAGACACGTGTTATTTCGCAACCTGTATCACCTGCATGTTTTACATTTTACGCATCGTCATAAAGGGTGCATCATCTCATCAAGCCTTAAGTTTCTGTTGTGACACACCGCCGTGTCTGCAGCTTGCACTCGTTTTTGCCTGTCTCGGTGTATGCACCTGCGCACGACTCTATGCACCCGTGTACGTGTGTGTGTGTGCGTGCTGTCTGTCCGGAAGTGCTTGCAAGGTGTTTACTTGGCGCACCTGCTGATCCCGTGGTGATTGGCTTTTCAAGGTTGAAATCCTGAGCCATGGTCGAGAAATGCCGCGAATTTGCATGTGTGCACCTGTGTGCACGGGCTTCCTTTTATTGAAGGAAACACACATTTTGCTTGCGTGCGGTGCGTGTATGGTCGCGCGGGAGTCGCGCCGGTCCCAAGGGTACCCAACTCTTAACCGCCCCCATATTCCAGCTATAAGATGTGGAAGCATTCGGTCTGAGGGCGAAGCTCTTGGTGTCTAATCTTGGAAGTCTTTATACCTGAGCATGCGCAGCAAATCCGGCACTGTGGCCTATCTGCTGCGTGCTTAGCGAAACCAGACATGGGGTTTCGCCAATTCTGATGCATGATTTCCTTGCCGATGTGTAGTTTCCCTAAGCAAGCGTCTGCCGGCATTGACGTGCATTCTCACCAGCTGATGTGAGGTAGAGATAACCCCAATTCTAGTAGCCCTCCTGATCGCAGAGTTGCGGCCTTGCATGTTGACTTGCGTACTTACATTCAGTGCCGGGCATGCACATGACATGAGTTGGGATTCTCAGATGCCATAGTGAGGTCACTGCCAACGGCATGTCACTCGTCGTTCTGGCGTTGACATCGCTTGCAGAGACGCAAGCAGCTGCAGTGCTCGGCTCGTCTGTTCATGTAGATTGAGCATGATGGAGCATGAGCATCGATTTCAGAGGTCGCTCACTTTGGCAATTGAGGTGACGCGAGCACTGGGACCGAAGGAGAAAGCAAAACTCCGTGACTTCAGGGACCCGGCTGTGTCTATGCTTACATGAAAGCACCTGTTTGGCGCTCTTCAGCTTTTCGTCAAGCTGTCGGCAGGATAGCAGCAATCCAGACTTGCAAGACTACACGAAGGCAGCTCGTGAACAGATGCGAGGATGTTGTGGAATATGTGGAATCCAGACTGGCCAGGCACTCGTGGACAAGCTTGGCCCAGGCTTTTCTATCTGAGAGGCTGTCCGACCTCGGCAATGGTGCTCCCCGAAGAGAGGATGTCGCTGTGCCGTATGTGGCGCTGAAACTCAGTCTAGCTCCTAAGCGTCCGGCTGTGAGAATTTGCCATGAATGTTCATGGCATGCCGCGAAGCGAAGCTCCGCAGCACAGCTGCCGTGAAAGCGCAGCGAGGACCAAGGCAGTGGCCCGATGATCCCATGAAGCCAACGCGGCTTTCGGCTTTTAATCAGCCAGAAGACCCGGACGACGCATGGCACTGCTTGGCTGCGAGAAGACTCCAATTTCTCAAGGGCCGTCGATGTGGGCAATGTATGCTTGGAAATCGGCCTTCCCAGGGATGAGGGTGGCATGTGCCCTGTTGCCTCCTTCAGAGTGAGCCTCTTCCTCAGTTCCTGGCGATGTCAAGGCCAAGAAAGTCTCGTCAGCTTGGCAACTCCGATCAGGTTGTGCGCGCCGAGGGTATAGTTGGCAGGCCAAGGCCGCTGCCGTTGACTCGAAACCCTTCCGAGGATGTTGGACAACCCTGAAGGTTGTGTTCGTGTGACATTGTTGTGGCGACGTAGCGGCTGCTTGCTGCTTGAAATCGGCAGGATCCTTCCCCGCTGGCCGAACGGACGACTGAGATTGGAGGTTGTGAGGCGTCCCTTGACTGCGCCGGTTCAATTCAAGTTGTGGCGGTCACAGTGTATGAATTTAGCTTGCAGACAGCCTGAGGTTACGGCTGCTGGCTTGCGGCCTTCTTAACGGCTGTTGCTGACTTGTCTGTTCTTACCTTCAGAAAGAATCGCAAGACGTCCTGTTCTGCTACATGCATGCTGCTGTCATGGTCCACTGTGCTCCGCAAGGTCCCGTCGTCCTGGGCTTTCTTTTTCCACGTGTCACGGCCATTGTCTCAGCCTACCGATGTCACAGGGTCCGCTGGCTTGTGTGATGCTGACCAGCCGAGGTCCATTTTGCGAACCGGCCGTCTATGCCATTCTCCCTGAGCGAGCACCCAGAGGCTGCCTCGCCTTCCTGTGGACCGTGTGATGCTCTGAGAAAGGACAACGTAGGAAACGATGCCTTGCCTCTCCAATGCCTTTGCTGCCCATTTCTCTTTCATGCCGGGTGTGCAGCAAATGGAAGCTCCAAATGCTGCCCCGTACAGAGCTGGCATTTGCTCCACCAGGCAGACGACTTGCGTGCCATCCTCGCGGAGGAGGTATCGCTGACGGTTTTGAGCGATTGCAGCGTGACGTCGGTGGTTGTTGGGGAATGTCTGCTTTCGACAGCAGGTGGGTGAAAACTTCGTCCTGCGAACCGTGCAGCGAAACCAGCCAATAAGCTGCCGGCACCCCGGCTATGTGCATGAAGTACATGGGCCTCACACCTGCTGAAGGCCGTTTCCTCTCCCACTGCGACCTGCTGTGTGCAAAGCCTGATGACATGGCAGCAGCACTAGCCGCCGCGCGGTGGCGGCCCCGGCGAAGCGCATGACTGATGCCTGACCGACCATGCAGCTGTCAAGCCATTTTCCCTAGGCAGGCAGCAGTCATCGAGAAAAGCAGTGTTGGCAGGCGTTTCGAGGAAACCAAGTCGACGGCTGACCCAGAAGAACTAGGCAAGACTGCATTCCAAGCATATTGAACTGCCCAGTGTACAGTGGCAGGAAGGTGCATTCAAAGTCAACTCTTATCCAGTCTTGCTGTGGACAGGTTCTTCGGCTACCACATCTACCACTCCCCGAGTTCTTGACTTGAAACCATTCGTTGTTCGGCGAACAGAGTAGCGAACTTCACATGACAGTCGAGTGTGTACAACACCTCGCTGCCCGGAACAAGTTAAACTTGCTCCGGCTCAACGTAGTCATAAAGCTCATCCGATTTGTAGCGTTGGATTTTCTTGCGTCATGCTGAGCAGGCGCAGTCCCCCGTGTTGGCATGCCAAAGTTGCTGTCACGATCCCCGTGCGAAAGCAGCATGGGAAAGTGCTTTGTGTCTGAGGGCAGTATCTCGGTGTTTTCAGAGGTTGCAAGGATTGTTTACGCATGCGTGTCGTTTGTGCGGTGTTGTGGGCCAGCTGGCTGCGAAGCGGATGCATGCATTGCAGCAAGATGCAGCAAGTACCAGGAAAGGTGGTGAGTTTTCATATTCGGTTTCGCTTTTGCAGCCTTTATTGATTCCACAGCACATGGATGGACGACAATGTTGTTAAGCACGATAATGCTTGGGCCGGAAGTCGTTATGTCAAGAAAAGTGCCCGAATCGACAACATGTGCAGAACACGCGAGGTGACATCTTGTAGCATTAAAGAAACAGCCCACATGCCTTTCTACACTTCTACATTCTACAACTCTGTTGAGCTTGCAAGGGTTTGGTCCGAAAGAGACTGCTGATGGTGACTTTCGATCTGCATTGAGCGGAACCCAGGCAGCAGGTTGCATGTCTCGTTGGCTGTGGAGTCCTCTCTTGCGCCACAAACAGGGCTTGATGGCCTGGTGGCTGACGGTCAGCGACCACGATGGGTCTCGTAAGTCTTACAGGGTGATGCCGACTTTCTGAGGCCAGCGCAACACTGCTCCAGGCTGTGGCAAACCTGGCTGCAGCTAGCTGAGGCAAGTTTGCTAGCGCGAGTGTCGTGGTTTGTAGGTGGCAGCGCAAAGCTCGTGGCAGATTTGGGGGACGGAGGTCTCCGGTGTCAGATTGCGCCATTGAGAAAGACGAACAGCGAATCACAACAGTGCAGCCTCGTACGCAGCTGTCAGGTTTTTGCTGAATTTCTGGAATCGGCCGGCTGCGAACAGTGCAGCTACTTGCTTTCAGAGCCGACCCAGCAGGTGCGGTGTTTTGCTGGAGTGCTCAGGAAGGCTTTCTAGATGCGCAGAGGCGCGGTTCGAAGTGTCCAGCAACATCTTTGGATGTGCGGACATCGACGTGCTGCTTCCATCGATTCATTGGCTCTACCAGGCAGGCGGCCGCGACGTGGCTTTGTCAGATGTGTTTTCCGCTGCATAGGCAGCACGGCAGCGTAATGGTGGCATCCCTCCCGGCCTGCTCGTGGACCCGCGCTTGGAAACAACAGAATCAGGAGCCGTTGGAAGAGTGGATCCGGAGTAGACAAGGATGGAGGAGCGAATGTCGGCAGAGCTTGGAGCTCGGCCCTTCTAGGCCTCAGACGACCGCGATAGCATCGCATGTTGTGAAGTCTTTCGCGAGCTGCCAATGCGAATACGTGCTGAATTGCTGAGGCAACGGCCAGATGGATTGCCAGCTTCGGCGATGCCTTTGGCCGGCGAGTGTCCAGGCAAAGACGGAAAACGAGACGTCTCGCATTTGTCGTCGTAGGCATCAAAGGCTATGGTGGCTGTAAGTGCATGCTACTTGTAGATTCTTAGCAGTTCGTGAGATGCTTCCAAACCTTCAGCGGATCGGATGTTACAAAACCTTTGCGCAGCTGTCAGGAACGACAGCCATACTTCATGCGTTGTTTGTGCCGGCGCGGACGCATCGGAGGCCGGTCACGGACGCGCAAAGGCCCTGCAATCAGACTTCCTCCATGCTCTTGCTTTTCTGTGGAGGCTGCTAGGGGCATGGAAGCACCAACAGCCACTGCCTTATTCCGCTTCATTCTGTGAACCAGCGAGCAGGTGGCATGCATTCGTCGTAGCTGTGCAAATCGTACGATTTTTGCGAAGCATCGCAGCGGTCAGAAAGTTGAGGTGGTTGTGGTAGCTGTGCCTTGGTTGCGTTTATTGAGCAATTCCGTCCCACTAGAACTAGGCATGACAGCATGCAGCATCCAGTGCATGTGAACAGATGTAAACATGAGCACATATTGGCAATTGTCATGCAAATGGTCTCCACGCAGAGGACAGAAAATGTAATGCGACGAGGGAGCTGATTTTGCTGTTCATGTCTGCAGCTGACACATACGCCCCAGAAGCTGCGAAGCACGACCCCTCAAGGGAATGTCGGACGATTGTACATGCTATGCAGGTGGAGCCATCTGCGTCAAACTTCAAGCTGCTCGATGCTCAGGTTGCGATTGGTGCTGAGGTTGCCGACAGGATATCACGCTAGGTTTGCAGTCATTGACGCAACAACCAGCACCGGACGTTGACCAAAGCACGGGGAACTCGCGGTATCATGCAGCATTTGGTAGCCCAGGCTGCTACAGCATGCTGCAGAACACAGCTGGAATGCCAGAGCCTATCAAAGTTTGAGACTCGTGACAGACAGAGCCTGCAGTTGGCTTTGCGGTTGCAACATGCTTAAAGGAGGAAGGTTTCCTGCCCCTCGAGGCTGGGTGAAAGAAAATGGGACATACTGTACAAAGCAAGTGTGTTGTGCTTCTATCGATGCGGAAACGGTGGCACACATGCTTGCCGGAGGCCGCTTTAAGTGATGTGGCCGGCCATGCGCAATTGGCGGCTGATGCCTCGATTGTCTTTCGTGTGCACTGTCACAGTTTGGGATCCATGTCGCAAGGTTAGCAAAGACTTTGCGATCGATGAGATTGCTACGTGCGCTGCCCAGCGACCCGACTTTCTCATTGTGTACTCGGCGGCGGCACTTGCAGTTTGCAGAGGCTGCTATGGAAGGATGGGGATGATCGTGACAAACAGACTGTAGAGGCCAATATGCCCATGACGCCAGACACGGTGACTGCTAAGCCGTTTGCTAGCTCTTGCAAGTCAAGTTGCTGGCCCAGGTGATCACTCTTTCGCGTGTTGCTGCATCCTCGGCATAGGCCGCACCTGTTTGCACATGGCCTTGGCCGCATGCGCAAGGTAGCGGAAGCAAAGGCCGCTTTTCCAGGCTGGTATGCTTCTCTTCCCCGTGCACACGAAACAGACAGTAACATGGGGTTTCGGCAAAGGCCTGGGCCGCGATGCTGAAAAAGTTTATTTGCTCAAACTGGACATCGAAGGGTCGGAGCCAGCAGTTCTCAGGCAAGGCTCCGCTGTACGACGTTTGCAGTCGGTCCTTCTGGTGGCGCTCTGAAGCTGCAGGTCCTTGGCGGCGGGGGATCCACCAGTCAAGTTTGTAAGTGTGGTGCCGAGAAATCGACAGGTGCAGTCTACTGGTGCTTTTTCATGGACTTGTACGGCATGATTCCGTAGAGAACAGCAGCCTTCAGTCGTGAAGGTTTCGAATATGCGTCCAATGTCTGGAAGGATAAGCTGTCTCATGTAATCGAGGAGCGATTCAGCTATGCCTGCGCGGCACACCATGCCCAGCACCCACTTTTCTGCAGGATCTGTTTCGCGCCAAATACTTCTGCTTCTTGATCACGTCCGAGCATCTCTTCCCGGTCGCGGCTTCAGACAAGCACGTGTTGATGCAGCATGGCATGATCAGGCCAGTCTCACTACCTAAAGACAGGTTTCCGGTCCGTTTTGGAGCAATGCTTTTGAAATTCCGATGTGGCGTTGCTGGCATGTCGTCGGCATATGTGTGGTGCGGACACAGAAGCATGGACCATATGCCGAACTCCGAACTGTGTCGCATGCCTTGTTCGGTCTTGCTGCCAGGAGCAACTTTTTCTGTGGTCGAGATGGTGATCCAGATCTGGAGGACCCCCTGCGACTACCAAAGAACCAAGAAAGCTTGAAGGGCTGTCCTGGCAGGTGTTGGTGCAATTGCATTCGGGGGCGGTTGGATTGTGGCCTCGCATGCTTCAACCTCAACGGTGCTTGGTCTTGCACGTGGTATCAGAGTGATGGCTTATAAGGCCCGGAATGTATTTGGCGGGTTTTGCTGGTCGTGACCAGCATACATGGGGCCTGCTCGAGGCAAGACGGCAGTTGCGATTCGATGTGCTGGGTCTGTTGGACACAGGCTTTCCAAGCCCCTTGCTTGGCTACCAAACTCGAAACCCAAAGGCCCAAAAACCTCAAGGCCTCAAGAGAGCAGAAGTGCAGGGTCCCCCTATCACTTGTACAAAAAACAGGAATCCTGCAGTGTGGCAGAATTTCAGAACTCCGCTCGGGTCGCTGATGTTCCAAGACTCAGTTCTGTCTTTTTGGTCGTCAGCCTGCTGGTTCTGCTACTTCGGCTTTTCCATGCCTTTTACATAGAGAAATCGATTGCGTGCCGGGCTGAGGCTACGGCTCAAGCTCCCAGACTCGGCGCAGAGCTACCCGATGCTTGATTCCAAACACTACGAGTAGGTAAACACTTCACTGCAGGTACTGGTGCCACAGACGTCAGGCACACAATGGTACCGAGGGATGCTTTGTAGCAGTGGAGGGTTTCTCGTGTGAGCACCATGGCCCTCCTGATTCATGTGAGCCTGCTAAGTGGCAGAACAGTTTCACTTGAAGCAGAACCGGACGAGTCTGTGAAAGCATTGCGTAGCAGAGCACAAAAGGCTCTGGCAATCGGCACAGGCAAACTCTTGGACTCCTCCGGAGGTGTTCTGGACGTATCCACTACGCTTGCGGAATCTGGCTTACAGAGCGGCGATACGCTGACCTTGAAGATCAGCAGATTTCAGGTTCGCGGCCACGATACTGCTTTTGCTGCCATTCTGGGCGACGGCTCTGTTGTGACCTGGGGCAATGCTGACGATGGTGGCGACAGCAGCCTTGTACAAGGTCAGCTGAAGGACGTGCAGCAGATCAAAGCTACCATGAATGCTTTTGCTGCCATTCTGGGCGATGGCTCTGTTGTGACCTGGGGCAATGGTGGCAGTGGTGGTGACAGCAGTGCTGTGCAAGATCAGCTGACTGATGTGCAGCAGATCCAAGGTACTAACACGGCTTTTGCCGCCATTCTGGGCGATGGGTCTGTGGTGACCTGGGGCAGTTCTGCCGCTGGTGGCGACAGCGGAGCTGTGCAGGATCAGCTGATCGGCGTCCAACAGATTCAAGCTACTGGCTTTACTTTCGCTGCCATTCTGGGCGATGGGTCTGTTGTAACCTGGGGCGATGATGGTGGCGACAGCCGTAATGTGGAACATCAGCTGACATGCGTTCAGCAAATTATGGCATCTCAGTATGCTTTTGCCGCCATTCTGGGGGATGGATCTGTTGTGACCTGGGGCGATGCCGGCGCTGGTGGCGACAGCAGTGCTGTGCAAGGTCAGCTACAGGACGTGCAGCAGATCCAGGCTTCTGAAATAGCTTTTGCGGCCATTCTGGGCGATGGGTCTGTTGTGACTTGGGGCGATGCCGACGGTGGTGGCGACAGCAGTCAAGTGCAAGATAAGCTGAAGGACGTGCAGCGGATTCAAGCTACTATCGATGCTTTTGCTGCAGTGCTTGGCGATGGATCTGTTGTGACCTGGGGCAGTTCTGCCGCTGGTGGCGACAGTAGTGCAGTGCAAGCTCAGCTGAAGGATGTGCAGTTGATCCAAGCTACCGGCATGGCTTTTGCTGCCGTTCTGGGCGATGGGTCTATTGTGACTTGGGGCAGTGCTGACAGTGGTGGCGACAGCAGTGCTGTGCAGGATCAGCTGAAGGACGTGCAGCAGATCCAAGCTACTAACACGGCTTTTGCTGCCATTCTGGGCGATGGGTCCTTTGTGACCTGGGGCAATGGTGGCAGTGGTGGTGACAGCAGTGCAGTCCAAGCTCAGCTGTCAAACCCGTAGAGCTGTGCAACAGCTGTCGTGGAAGGTCAGAATGATTGTGCACTGCGGATGTCAACTGCAACTTCGAAAGGTAGCCTGTGTTTTGAAGTTCAAACAGGAGTAGATGTCGGAAGAGTGCCCTGCCAATGTCTTGCTTCGTGTTTGAAACGTGAAGCTCTTCAGCTCCTGTGCTCAAAAGGAGCTTGGGATTGGCTCGTGATGAGCCTGGAAACTTCGGGTGTGATCACAAATCTCGTCTGACTTGGTCGAGTGCGAATGCTAAAACATGTCTTTGGCACCAAAAGCGGCAGTGTTGCTGCTGGCTCTGTGCCTATCGAGCGTCGCGGTTTATGGGCTTGTCAGTTTCTTAGGTTGAAACAGTTGTTGCAAGTTCGGATGAGTTTGCTTGTGGCCTGTGTGAGTTGCAGGCGCAGCATGCTTGCACAGATCTGGGTGCGGCTTGCGCTGGAGTCGGCGGCTCGGGACGGTGTGATAATTAGTGAGATTCGAAATGCCAGGTGTTCATGCCTTCTCGCGCCCTTCGGCTGAAGTGTAGGTGACTTGTGAGCGTCCTGCCTCTGGCATCGCAGGGGAGGAGCCAGGCAGGGAAGAAAGGTCACTGGCTGTGGTTTGAGTCCGGGCAATGCCGTAAAATTCAGTGCCAGGTGGATGCTCTGTGCGCATGGGTATCGAGGGACTGAGAAGATCGCCCTTTGGCGAGGTCGCTACCTCAAGCTTGGGGCAATTGATGTTGTGAATTGCCGTGCTTGTCGTCGCAGAGTGTGAATGCACAGGTCACATACCTCAAAAGCCTGGCGCATGCCAATCTTTTCTTGAGGCCTAGCCAGACGCACGAAACATGTTCAGCTCCTGAGGCCGTGTGCTTGTCCTGCATGCCTGCTCAGGTACCGGCAAGAAGCCAAAGAAGCGAAGCTTGCGGAATAAAATCAAGTGTGAGATTGCTCGCCTCGCGACATGAGTGGTCAACGGAGCAGAGGCGAGTACGCTGTTTGGAGCGTTTGAGGTTCAGCGCTGGGAGACTCGCTGAATGGCATTGAGATGCAATGCACTGTCGCTGACGCCAGCTTAAACTAACCGTAACTGCCTGTGTGGAATCCATGCTCGACCGAGCACATGGCGAACGCCACTCGCAGCTGACCGGCTGCAAGAGGAAGGGCAGGACATGTAGCTCAGGTCAGTGATGTAGTCATGAGGGGTTGGTCCCAGGTGCGTTTCCTTCCGTGCAAATGAGGCTAATTTCCTGTGACGCTGCAAAAGCGACCGATTTTGCTTCTTCAGGAATCCTCTTTCTTGCGTGTGTGATCTTGCATCATCCCGATGCGGCGGATGCAGGCCCGATTTTCTCGAGAACCGATGCAATCTCTATGTCGACATGCGCAGATTCTCAGGCAGCTCGGGATCTGCCGCGGCTGCTGCCGTCTGGCAGCGTCTGACAGAATTGGTGCAACGGCCAGCCGAAGCCCAGGACGAGGACGAGTCGCGCCTGCTTTGTCCCATGTTCGTTCGTTTTGTTGCAGTTTTTGTTGTGAAGGCCATCTACTGGAGCCAAGCTCTGACGACACTGCACTCGGAACATCCTCACCCTGCAGCTCCGAAGCAAAGATGTTTTTTCCGGATGTTTCGGAAGGTTGTGCTGCGCGACTTCGATGGTCTCTGACATAGCCTCCCAGGATGTGTCTGGCGTTCTTGCCTGGTTGTACCTCTTCGGCCTGCCGTCTACAACGCAGCCGTTGGTGCAGCGGGATGTAAACGCTGCAATTAGAATTGCACGTGAGGGAATCCATCATACACCCCCTTGTGCGCGGTGCTACGCCCTTCTGGGGCTCCTCCTCGGTGTGGGATACCCTCCGCTTGTTGGAGCTGCGCACCTGGCTCAAGATGGAATTGGTGAGCCAAGGCTGCTTATCCTTGGAGATGTTCTTGCACAGGAGCCTGCGACAGCAGACGCTGCACGGTTGCCACGTGACATTGGCCCACCGGACCCTTCTGCCGCAGCGTATGCCCTTTCTTATGCTGGAGGCGACCCACTTGGCATGCTTGCCGTCGCATACTTGAATCGCACACGCATGATTAACTTGACCAAGATGACGGCACCTGGCCCCAATCAAGCATCTTCCCTCGTGTCGCGAATGCCGAAGACTGTGGACAAAGCCAGCTGCGACGAGACCTTGGTGAATTCTCTAGGGAATCTGGCAGCCTCAACTATTGACGAGATTCAATCTGGGTCATGGGGTCCCGTCCCCGATCCGCTCTCTCAAGGACTTTCCCAACAGAGAGCAGACAAAGCCTTCCTTGAGCACATCCTGGCAGATACCTCGAGGTCGTCGGCATCTGATCTGGCCAAGGCCTCTAGCATGTTGGAAACCGGTGGCTTTCGATCGGAGGAGCTGCCTGCAGTGGCCCGCAAAGCTGCCAACGTAAGTCAGCTTCGGTCTTTGGCAGCTTCGAAGGGTGATCGGAAGTCAGCTCTCTGGCTGGCTGTGGAGCACTTGCAGGAGAATGACACGCAGAAAGCTAAACCACTGCTTGACATGGTGGTGACCAAAGCCGCACAGGATGCCGATCACGACGCAGATGCTGAGATGGCCAAGTATTATTTGGCCCGGTTTGCCTCGCCTAATTCGTCCGATGTCGCAATTGCCAGACGAGATGCTTGGCCGCACCTAGTGCAGGCCGCAGATCTGGGGAGAGAGGATGCGAAATTGCTGGTTGCTCATGCGTTCGTGGATGGATCCGATGACTTGCAGACTCCAGAAGGATCGTCAAGCAACACGGAGGCTATTCGACGCTACAAGCAGCTTTTGCCAGAAGCCTCTGGCAAATCTGACAAGCCCAATGTAACATTCCCGGCGTCATCAGCACCAAGTCGCCGCAATGGCGCTTTGAATCCAGTGCAGGCGTTTGCAGCCTACAATTTGGGAGTGCTGTCCCTCAAAGACTCGGAGGGTGGATCATCTGCATCGCCGGTGCCTTCGGAGCTTCCGAGTGCGAGCGGCGGAATATGTTCTCCTGAAGTGTAGGATCCTTGGTCGACTGCTGGCACTTCGATGTTTCCCAGGTGCGGATAGGATACGTCAGGGCAGCAGTTCAGTCACAGCAAAGTAAGGCAAGGGTCCTTCTTGGAAGTTGTGCTCTCCCAGTCGGGCATCGTTCGGCTAATCATAGCCTTGGGGCGGCGCTCGGCTAGACTTGGCGATGAAATTGGCGCCCTCCTGTTGGCCATGCTCTTAAGCGGCAAGGCTGCGCTTTGTGACGTCTAGAAGGGCTTAGATGCAAAAAGCAGACCTTCACATGTCCTGTCTGCAGGCGACATCGGCCACGATCTTGGTCATGCCGATGCAGCCTTCTTGTGGGACAAATGGGCGGCACATCAACCTCCACACCTAGTGCTGATCAGCGACGTGCAGACCCATGACAACAAGCAGGAATAGCTCGGCAAAGAGAGTGACGGGTTTCATGCTTTTCAATCTTTTCAGAGTCTAGAGGCGTTTGCACTTCTCGGATTGTCACATCAGGCCCATCATCCTTGTAACCTTCGCGGTTGGTGGACAACATCTTCACCGGACCTGGTTTCCAGAAATGTGAGCCTGGTTTATGCGGCAGATGCGACTTGCTCCAAGATTGTTGTGTTGAGATTCTAAAGTGACAGCAGGGCGCCTGCCAGGGTTGTTGCTCCTCTGATCTACGCAGGTGATGGGAGGTGGCCCAGCGCTTGGTCGGATGCGTGAAACGCACATGTGGCAGCAAGCATGTGGAAAAAAGCTGCGAGGAACTGAGATGTTCAATGCCAGTCTGGCTGACAGCCACTTGCTTCATGGGCTTGAAGCGACAGATATCGTCCAGCCAATTCCAGAAAGGACAGAGTTCCGGCATTTGTATTCGTTCCTGTGGCTCGACGCGCAAGTACTTCTGGCCGATGCTGGACATGCCTTTGGTTGCCACGTGCGGCCAAGTAAGTGCAGTGCGGCTGCGACTGCCTTGCGTTGCAAGAGTGGTCGTACCCACAGTCACTCAGTCAGTCAGTCAGTCAGTCCGTCGGTCGGTCAGTCGGTCGGTCGATCAATTAGTCAATTCGTCAGCCAGACAGGAAATCAACCAATCATTCAATCAATCATTCATTCAGTCAGTCAATCATTCATTCATTCATTCATTCAGTCAATCATTCAATGAATCAATCAATCAATCAATCAATCAATCAATCAGCCATAAGCGTTCATTGAATCAGCTCCACGAGGTGGCACACCAGCTACGATGCCTTTCCTGCTGGTGCACCCGTGCCTGTCGCACTGCAACCTCCTGGGGCGGTGCCACACCTCCTGGAGTTCCACCATCAACGTGGTCACTAGCCTGCGAATGCACAGTAGCCGCAAAGACTCTTTTAGGATGATGTTCAATGAAAGTGAGTGGCAACGACGTGCCCAGGCAAGCTCCTGATGGACAAGTCGTGCAACACAGCTGTCGTTGAAGGCATGTACGTCAACTGGACTTTTCATCGCCTTGATGCTGAACCGGCACCAGAGGCAGAGTTGGTAATCTGCCTTCGTCCGCACAGGTCAGCTGTGTAAGAGCTCCACCGTCGCCAGGTAGATGTCCCGGAGGTGGAGGCCAATCGACAGGAGCCACTCTCGAATCCTGTGCTGGCTTCTCGGATGAAGCAGCGGTCACCTGCGGCAGGAACGGGAACGTAGTTTTTTATTGGTTCCTCTTTGTTTTTTTGGTCTGGGGGTGGGGGAAGGAAGGGAGGAGCGAGGAAGGGAGGAAGGCAGGAAGGGAGGAAGGGAGGGCGAGGGAGGGAGGGAGGGAGGGAGGGAGGAAGGAGGAAGAGCGGAACGAAGGAAGGAAGGAAAGAACGAACGGAGGGAGGAAGGAAGGAAGCAAGGAAGGAAGGTAGGAAGGAAGGAAGGAACGGAGGGAGGAAGGAAGGAAGGAAGGAATGTAGGGAAGAAGGAAGGAAACGAGGAAGGAAGGAAAGGAATGAAAGGAAGGAAGGAAGGGAGGAAGGAACGAAGGAAGGGAGGAACGACGGAAGAAACACACACACACACATACATATATATATATATATGTATATATATATATATATATATACTGTATACACTTACACATGTACATGTACTTGTGCTACATTAGGTTATTGTGCGACTTTGTAGTATAGTATCTTATTTATAATTTGCGATGGCACGTATATACGTGCACACACAGATATATATATATATATACACACACATATATATATATATATATATGTATATATATATATGTACACAGCATGTATAGTGTATTTTATTTAGCTTTTCGACAATTTGCTTTATAACCTTTATATGTGTATATATATATATACATATGTATATGGATACTCCTCCTACAAAATCGAAGTATGCAAAGTATTCAGTCTGTATAGCCGTTAATAGAAAGGATATAGTATACAGTACACAGCATGTCGTACAAAGTATACAGTATATTCTGGTTCGTACACATGTATTATACATACTGCATATAGTGTTTTTACGATTACTTTGTGTACATCTATATATATATATAGAGACATGTATATCTTTGAGTTCTGTTTTATGAAAACGGTACAAATGGCATTCGTGCGTATAGTATATACGTATTTACAAGAGCAAGTAATGTGTGTATATATATATATATATATATGCATTCATACTTATTTATTGTGTTCGCGATTATACGCGCTCTGTATGCTTTTTCAATAGACACACATATAGGATATATGGGTACAGAAAGTATCAATACTGTAGTGTACACAGTATACATAGTTCGTATATATATATATATATGTATAGTCAGATGATAGGTATTAAAGCATACATTATACAGATAAACAAAAAATACACAAATAAATAAGTAAATAAATAAATAAATACATATATATATATATATATGTATATGTATGTATCGTACAACTAGTATATACATATACATATATATATATATATCACATGTGTATATATATATACACACATACAGAAAGCATATATGCATGCACTGTCTCCGCCAGACTGTATATAGAGCTTTGGATGGTAAGAGCTTTGGATGGTGACCGGTCAGTGTACTGAAGCCTCGCCTGCTTTGTCGAGTGTGAGTGCTAAAAATATATTGCGGCAGGCTCGACAGCTTATATAGTGATTATAATGTAACATATATATATATGTATATATATATATATATGTATATATATATATATATGTATATATATATATATATATGTATATATATATATATGTATATATATATATATATATATGTATACATATAAAGT